AGGAAGAACGGAGTCGTCCTACAGGGTCAGACGGCTCTCACACTCAACATCAACAACGTCCAGTCTTCTGATGAAGGGATCTATGAGTGCTACTATGGCGGGGCGTATTCTGACAGGAAGCAGGGCATCATGAGGCTCATGGTTAGAGGTAAGTCCTATCACGTACACATCATCATCATCATCTGGCGGCTGCGTTAGAGCAGACGACGTACACAAGATGGGCCGCAATTTCACAACATTATAATCTCATGACATTTCCTTGCACGTGCATGCATATGAGGGTGTGAGTACCATCACATCAATTATAAATGAAAATATAGCATTATTATTTGCTTCATTGAGTTGCACTTATGTCATCATAACTAGTAGATATGACACAACATGAACAACATCAACATTAACATAATATATCTAGCTATTATGAAATTGTGCAATTATATATATTGTTATTATTGTCTACTTACGATGTTGTGCAATATGTTTAATTAGTTTTAACTATGATTGATTGTAATGTCATTTATGTCTTTGGGGAGGGAGCCTGTAAAGGTGGTCTCCACCTGTTTCTCCCTTCCCTTCCACTTGTGGTAAAGCTTGAATAAATAAATATATGCATAGTGGTGTTAACCTTTAAGTAACTTACACATGTCACAAGGTATAAAAGTCCCATCATTCACCAATAAGGAATCACAAGATTTTCACATTGATATTGTTGCATAATCGATTGATAATCGATTATGCAAATTAAGTCATCATTTACATAATTGGTATTTGTTGATGTTCCGCCTACCACATATTAAATAGATTACATGTATAAAAGTACTATTATATAAAACACTGTAATTATAGCATTTCCTCATTAATCATAAAAAGTCAGTCCTCATTTGCATAATTTGCAGTTATTCATGTACATCTCTCTTTTAGCTACCTACACACCAAAAATGATGAAAATACGGTGTTCCTATCTGGACTTATTGGCTTTTAAAGATTTCGCCAGAAAGTGCCCTGCAGTTCCATAACAAGCTGCTAGGAGGACCAAACTCACGTAAATTATTCCTGACAGACGTGCCAAAAACAATACCTCCATTTTTCATGGAGGTAATAATGTTCAATTCTGTCCAACTTTAAGTAGGCCTGATGGTAAATTTAAGACAACTTCTGAAGAAAACAACTGTAAGCGCCAACTTTCCTATTTGTATTTGCTAGCCTGGTATCCAGCCTTGTTAGCTTTAGTCCGCTACCCAAGATCCCGGCGCTCCCCGCCAACAAGCGGATCTTGGGGAGCGGACTAAAGCTAACAAGGCTGGATACCAGGTTATGTATTTGCCGCCTTTAGATTAGCTATCATAATGAGGTAGTCTAGTTCCCGCCAAATTCCCTACCCCCTGAACACCAAGGCCCGTCCAGACAATAGGCTCCAGATGGAGAAGGCCAGGGCTGTGACAAAAGGACTATAAGGCACAGAAAGGACCCACGGTGCATAAGGCAAACAGGCTTCCAAAGACAGGAAGAAAATAGGCTTCTCTAGAAGAAAAGAACAGGCTTCCCAAGACGGAAAAAAATAGGATTCACAACGGGAGAAGAAAATAGGATTCTCAACAGGAGAAGAAACAGGATTCTCAACAGGAGAAGAAATCAGTATCAGCGTGAGGAAGTTATCAGGCCAGAAGGAGATAGGAGCAATTTATACTAGCTTTTACGGCACTACCGGTACTATCAGTACTATCTTGGACGTGTACCTTGGGCATCTACCTTGAGCACTATTCGGGACATTCAAGTGAC